AAGAGAGAGAGAGAAAGAGAGAGATAAATGAAAGAGAAAAGAAAAAAAAAATATTTACATGTATATACATCCATCCACACCGCCATCATTACGAAGCGAAGACAACCTCGCCTCCGAGAAATCACGAGGCGACCCACTCACCGGAGTCCTGATCCGTAGCGGACACTGAGAGCACTGAAGACCCGACGGTGATGTTCTCGTAGATTTCGTCCGAGTAGCTCATGGGGTCGAAGATCGGGGCGTTGTCGTTGAGGTCCTGCACGTTGAAGTAGACGGTGACGGTGGACGAGAGCGAAGGCCGGCCTGTGTCCTGCGCTTGCACCACCAGGATGTAGTGTTGCACCTGGAGGGAGAAAGAGGGCGGTTAGCTGAGGGAGAACTGGCGAGGCTCGGAGGGGAAATGTCGGGTAGAAAATGATTCAGTGAGGGGGGGGAAGAGGAAGAAGAGGGCGCGGGAATGTGTCTTGTTAACCTGAAAATTAGGAATAAAAGTATGGATAAAAAAGTAAAATATTTCTCGAGACGAATGATGCATTTGTGTGACCTACGAGTGCCGAGGGCGGCGCCGGAGGGGAAGGTCAGGTCATCGCGGAAGACGGAGGGCGAGCTGACACAAGCAGGGCACCTCCCCACCCCCCTCCGGCTGAGACATGCCCGAGGCTTCCAAATAGGTCCCTCGGCGGCAACAATACGCTTGCCTTCTCTTTTATAAATCGTCTATGTAAAAGACAAGCACGGGACGGCCACCACAAAGCGACCCTCAAGGGAGAGACATATATTTAACATTCCGCGCATCCCTTCCTGCCCGGGCATAAATCATGCCCCGTGATGGGGGTCCCGCGCCCGCTGGCGACCCTCACACTGGCCCGTGCCCCCTGGGAGTTCGCGGGAGACGCGCAAGAATCTCAATCGCATGGGGAGAGTGCGACGAGTAAGATTTGCGTCCCGTAAACAATGGGATTCAAGCCCAAAAGAACACCATTTACAGTCTCTTCAAACGCTTAAACTGATCTAGAATCCACGGAAAGCATCGCAGTGACCGCCATGCTAACGACGTCTTCCAAAGCAACGCCCCCGTCAGGAGACCATCGCAAGAGCCCGCCCCCCGCCGCCCCCCGGGAGAAGGGCAGCCACGGGACGAGCTAACGGCAGCTCGACCCCCCCTCCCCCCCGAGACCAGCGACCCCTGGGAACGACGGCTCCTCTTGTCCCATTAAGATACAGCGCTCAGGAATGACGGCCGAACACGACGAGCCAGCGCCAAAAGGGGGCCAGAAAATTAATCCATCCCTTCTCTCTGTGTACACAAACTCGTGATGGATGACTAGCGGAGGGCGGGGACGGAGCGTGAAGAGGCAGAGGGAAGGATGGAGGGGAGGGGAGGGGGGGAGGATAGGAGGGGTAGGGTGGGGCTGACGGTAGGCCTACCCACTTATTGAAAAAAACGAAAAGAAAGAAGACAAAAAATCGTGTATTATCTTGTCCTCTTTAGCTCAGAGAAAGGATCTCGGCGCAAGATAGAGGCCTCAGCCGAGGGCGGAGAGATAGAGTGACTTGAAAAGAATCTCCGCGCGGGCGGGAGAGCCTGGGGTAGGCCGGGAAGGGGGCCAGGGAGGGAGCAGGGGGGGTGAAAGGGCTAATAGATAGGCTTATAGTGCAGAGAAAAATTGCAGGGCTAGAGAGAGCTCGGGCAGAGGGCGGGCAGAGGGCGGACCTCGCTCTATAATGTTCCGGCCTCTCAGCAAGAGGGTCGAGGGAGAAGCGATGTAATAAAGAGAGGCGAATGCGGAACAGAGGAAAAATCGCTCATGATGAAGTGGGAATTAATTAGTTATCTCGGACGAAATGGAGAAGTGATGTAGTAGAGATAAAACTGATGGCGGGACCTGTTCATGCTATCAAACGGGATGGACTGCCACTGGGCACAGACCCGCGACGGGGACACACGCATACAAACAAACAAACAAGCAAATACATATTCAACCACAAACACACACACACACACACACACACACACACACACACACACACACACATACACACACATACTCAATCACACAGAAATTAAAACACGAAAACAGTAAACAAATACATGTAAACAGACATACTCTCAAACATACACAATCAAGTAAAAGTAAAGCCAGCCACAAATACTTTCGCAAACACAAACAAACACACAAACACATTGCCATTCACACACAGACACAAGGAAATCATATTCAGCCACGTACACTCTCAAACATACACATAACCGAGATATACACCCTACATGTATACACAGAGGGGATGAATACACGGAGGAGAGTGTGACATTATTAAAAGATGAATCAATGTAAACTGAAGAAGAGAAGAAAGGGGAATATGAAGAAACCGAGAGAAAGGAGGAATGATGAGAAACTGATAAAGAGACGCAATGGGAAAACAATAATGAGACAAGAAGAAACCCAAGGACGAAACGAAAGAGAAATGATGAAAAAGAAACCAACAAAGAGACAAAAGGTAGATAGTGACGAAACGAAAGAGGAATGATTAGAAACCAAATAAAGAGACAAAAGGAATACAGCAAGAAACCGAGGATGAGGCGAAGAGGGAATCACAAGAAACGAGGAAGACGAAAGGGGAATTATAAGAAAATGAAGACGTGAGGGCGGGGTCAGAAATCAGGAAACGAACTGAAACTGACAAAACGCCGACAAAGAAACGAAAGAGGACGGATAATAAACGGGGGAAGAAACGAAATGGGAAAATAAAGAAAAAAAAGAGAGAATAAAAAAAAGAAGCAGATTGGAAACATCAAGTAATGACGAAGATAAACATGACGGATTTAAAATAATCAGTATGATATGACGTGATGACAAAGATGATAACGAAAAAACTGATAATGATGCTGTTGTAACTAATAGAGACTACTGCTAGTTACAAGAATGACAATGACAAGGCAATAACGACTCTAATGATGATAATGATAGTAATAATGATAATAATGATACCAATAATAATATTCATAATGGCATTAAAGTAGGCTAAAAAAATAGATAGAGAAAGAATGGATATATGTATATATATATATATATATATATATATATATATATATATATATATATATATGTATATATACATATACATATTCTTTCAAAAGGAAAAAAATGGAAGCTAAACATTAGAAGAAAAAACTCCCTAACGCCTTCTACGGCCGACGCCAGAAAAGACATAACGACCCGAATGAAAGCTCTCGTTGTGGTCTGTCTAATTAAGTGAAACATTTGTCTCATTCAAGCCTGTAACTAATTGTCTTGGTTCGGGGGGTTAAGGGGGGAGGGGGGAGCGGGTAATGGATATGTTAATGCAAGGTGGAGGGGGGTGGGGGGGTAGGTAGGAGGTGCAGGGGAGGGGGGGTGATATCTTCCTTTATCTCCTTTCCACATTGTCTTCCTTATATTTTTTTGTTTTATTATTATTTTATTTTCTTTTTTTTCGAGATTGTCATCCCCTTATTTCCTTACTTCCTCTTTCTCGTCCTAATTTGTATCTACTCCCTCATTCCCTTTTTCTTCTTTTTCCTTTCTCTCTTCCTCCTCCTCCTCCTATTCCTATTATCTTTTATCTTCCTCTCCCTTTTCTTCCGCATTCACCGCCTCCTCCTCTTCTTCTCTTCCCCCCCCCCCATCCCCCTCGTCCTCCTCCTCCTCCTCTTTTTCTTCCCCCACCTCTCCCTCCTCCATTTCTTCTTCCTCCACTTCTATCCCTTTCCACTTCATCTTCCTATTTCTCTTCCTCTTTTTTATAATATCTCTTTTGTTATTACAATTTCTTCGATTCTTGGCCTCCTCCTATCCTCTGTCACATATATTAATTTTGTACTACATGCATGATTTTATTCTTTTGTTTTCTCTCTCTCTCATTCTCTCTCTCCCCCTCCTCTCTTTCTCTCTCTCTCTCTCTCTCTCTCTCTCTCTTCTCTCTCTCTCTCTCTCTCTCTCTCTCTCTCTTCTCTTTCTCTCTCTATCTTTTCTCTTTCTCTCTCTATCTTTTTCTCTTTCTCTCTCTTACTCTCTCTCACTCTTTCTCTCTCTCTCTCTCTTACTCTCTCTCTCTCTCTCTCTCTCTCTCTCTCTCTCTCTCTCTCTCTCTCTCTCTCTCTCTCTCTCTCTCTCTCTCTCTCTTACTCTCTCTCTCTTACACTCTCTCTCTCCCTTACTCTTTCTTTTACTCTCTCTCTCTCTCTCTTATTATTTCTCTCTCTCTTATTCTTTCCCTCTCTCTCTCTTTCTCTCCCTCTCTCACTTACCCCCCCCTCTCTCTCTTACCCCCCTTCTCTCTCTCTCTCTCTCTCTCTCTCTCTCTCTCTCTCTCTCTCTCTCTCTCTCTCTCTCTCTCTCTCTCTCTCTCTCTCTCTCGTTCTGTGTGTCCATTATATATACAACTGCATGAGTGTGCATCGAAGCGGTACATGAAATGCGTGTGCAGCTTGGTCAAGTGTGTTTTCCTTTTCCTTAACAGGTGCAATGGCAAGCCTGTCGGGATCCGGTCGCAGGTGTTGACGGAAGAGTAAGAAGGAGAGAGAGAGGGTGTGGGAGAGGGAGGGAGAGAGGCAGAGAGAGGGGGAGAGACAGAGAGGGGGAGAAGAGGAAAAGATAGAGAGAAAGGTGGAGGGGAGGGGGAGGGGAGGATGGAAGGAAGGAAGGAAAGGAGGGAGGGTGGGAGGGAGGGAGGGAGGGAGGGAGAGGTAGAGGGAGAGGGAGAAGTAGAGGGTGAGGGAAAAGGAGAGGCAGAGGGTGAGGGAGAGGGAGAGGGTGGGGGAAAAGGAGAGGCAGAGGGAGAGCTAGAGGGGGAGAGAGGGAGAGAGAGAGAGAGAGAGAGAGAGAGAGAGAGAGAGAGAGAGAGAGAGAGAGAGAGAGAGAGAGAGAGAGAGAGAGAGAGAGAGAGAGAGGAGCGCACGCAGGCCGGAGGGACGGGGTGCTGGGGAGGGACGGCGGGTGTTGTTGTTGCAGTGGCAGACAAGCAAGACGATCTACCTCTCCCTGGCATGAGCTGTTCACGTCTTCAAGGTCATGAGGGCGGCGGGATCGCTCAGTCCCAGAAAGCTTCGCTCGGGCGGCCGGAGGAGGACGCGCGAAGGCTCGGCGCGGAGGCGAGGAATCCGGCAGCGAGCGAACGGACGCGAGACCGGCCGAAGGACTGCGCGAGCGCGGCGCGGTGTCATGGCGATACGTTGCCACAAATCGAAACTGCAAGTGTTATAAATCTGTAACAGCTTAAGTGGTGACGAGGCAGAATGAGGGGGGTGGGGGCGTCGCCAGGCAGCGGGGGTCTGCACGTCGCAGGAGGCAGGAGCACCCCCGG